TATCTGCCAAGTGACCCTATGTAAAGAAGGCCTGATGAGATGAGCTGCCTTGGGCTAAAAATGGTCCACACGCTGCTGTATTTTAGCTCTGAATGCCTGTTGACTTGCGTGACTTATCCGCCACCAACTTGGGTTCAAGCCACCAGTGTGTACTTTATAAATGGCTTTATAAAGCATTGTGTACTTTATAAATGGCTCCACCTGCCACCCGTACAGCAACACAGTCTCCAGTTAGGAGGACCAACCAAGCATCTTCTTCCATCTGCCTGTTACGCAGAAGTACTGCGTGTACGACCACTGATATAGGAGCAGCGGAAGGTATTAAACTGATAAAAATAGTACTAAACACACCACTTTCTATCTGGTACGTACGGTAGCTTGACAGCGCAGTGCCCCAAATTTGCAGTAAGAGGACCGACCAAGCCTCTTCTTCCATCTCCCTGTTACAAAAATCAATGCCGTGTACACGTCCACTGATAGGAGAGGCGGAAGGTATTAAACTGATAAAAATAGTACTAAACACACCACTCCTATCTGGTGTCACATTAGCTTGACCGCGCAGTGCCCCAAATTTGCAGTAAGAGGACCGACCAAGCCTCTTCTTCCATCTCCCTGTTACAAAAATCAATGCCGTGTACACGACCACTGATAGAGGCAGCGGAAGGTATTAAACTGATAAAAATAGTACTAAACACTCCACTCCTATCTGGTGTCATTAGCTTGACCGCGCAGTGCCCCAAATTTGCAGTAAGAGGACCGACCAAGCCTCTTCTTCCATCTCCCTGTTACAAAAATCAATGCCGTGTACACGTCCACTGATAGGAGACGCGGAAGGTATTAAACTGATAAAAATAGTACTAAACACACCACTCCTATCTGGTATCACATTAGCTTGACAGCGCAGTGCCCCAAATTTGCAGTAAGAGGACCGACCAAGCCTCTTCTTCCATCTCCCTGTTACAAAAATCAATGCCGTGTACGCGACGATGGGAGGCATTGACGGTCGAGAACAAATACTAAACACACCACTCCTATCTGGTGTCACATTAGCTTGACGGCGCAGTGCCCCAAATTTGCAGTAAGAGGACCGACCAGCCTCTTCTTCCATCTCCCTGTTACAAAAATCAATGCCGTGTACCGCGACTACACTGATATAGGAGGCAGCGGAAGGTATTAAACTGATAAAAATAGTACTAAACACACCACTCCTATCTGGTGTCATTAGCTTGACAGCGCAGTGCCCCAAATTTGCAGTAAGAGGACCGACCAAGCCTCTTCTTCCATCTCCCTGTTACAAAAATCAATGCCGTGTACACGTCCACTGATAGGAGACGCGGAAGGTATTAAACTGATCAGAACAATACTAAACACACCACTCCTTTTTTTTGGTGAGGCTTTACAGGACAGAGTGCTTCTCCACGGGACATGTTAACTCAGGGCAGCTGGCTCATCAAGGAACCACAGCAGCTTTCCATGTACAGGTAAGACACGTGCAGCCGGTAAGGGTTCAGGCTCTTCTTCCTGGAGGATATGCTGCAAGCCTGTTGAACGAGGTGACCTTGCTCGGGTCCCAGGTGTACGGTTCCTAAAATGGCTGCCATATACACGTCCACTGATAGGAGACGCGGAAGGTATTAAACTGATCAGAAAAATACTAAACACACCACTCCTATCTGGTGGCACATTAGCTTGACCGCGCAGTGCCCCAAATTTGAATTAAGAGGACCGACCAAGCATCTTCTTCCATCTCCCTGTTACAGAAATCACTGCCATATCCATACAAATTGTACAGAATGTCCAGGATAGTTTTCCAGGGACAAATGTTGTCGCCTGTTGAACGAGGTGACCTTGCTCGGGTCCCAGGTGTACGGTTCCTAAAATGGCTGCCATATACACGTCCACTGATAGGAGACGCGGAAGGTATTAAACTGATCAGAACAATACTAAACACACCACAAATAAGGTTTCTCTCCTGTATGGCTCCTCAAATGATGCTTAAGATTAGAAGCGGCTGAAAAGCATTTCTCACACTCCGAACAAAAATATATTTTTTAACATTCTCTCCACTTTGAACGAAATGACGTTTGGGAAGAGATTAACATAATTAAACACAGGCAGTAAAAATACAGTTTTTAGCCATACCCTGTAACTTTAAAACTACACATCCCATCTTCATAATTACATATTTGGAATCAGCACACTTAAAACATAAACATAACCAAAAATCAGCCAAATCCATCCAGGGGTTAAAAAGTTAGCTGGAGGTCCCTTTATGACCGACCGCAAGCACATTTTCCTGCCCAAAACAGTTCCATAGATTTGGGCTGTGAGGTCGGTCTATTTCAGGCTGAAAAAGCGACTAAGTCCCATCGCCGAATGGGACTTAGTCTCTGCAGCTGAAATAAGGCTGAAAAAAAAAAGACTAAGTCCCATCACGAATGGGACTTAGTCTCTGCAGCTGAAATAAGGCTGAAAAAAACGGCTGAAAAAAAGACTAAGTCCCATCGCCGAATGGGACTTAGTCTCTGCAGCTGAAATAATTTCCCATTTACTGAACCAAGTGGGAAATAGCAAGGCAGGCACAAAGGGTTTGCACCAGGTCTGGGGACACAGGGGACACCGTCTTAAAGGGGCCGTGTCCCCAACAAGTCTGGGGACACGGCCTTAAAGGGGCAGTGTCCCAATCTTCCTGATGTCCCAAAAAAGGTGTTTAAAGGGCCAGCACCAGTCACATAAAGAGTCCATAAGCCCCAATATGCCCACCGACAGTCTTAAAGGGCCATACACACCAAATAAAAGTGCATACATTTTCACAATCTCCCAGGGGCCATAGTCATGCGGGAGGAGGCTGGCAAATAGGCTTCTCCACAACCCAGGGAAGCAGGGCAATTTGCCATTTAAAGGGCCCGTTACAAATAGCAGTTTGTAACAAGGTGTCAATCCATATCTGCCAAGTGACCCGATGTAGGGGGAACAGTCCCTATTCTGCTCTGTGTCAGTGTGTATCATGGTCTCTGAGGACAGGTGTCAATCCATATTTGCCAAGTGACCCTATGTAGGGGGACCAGTCTCTATTCTGCTCTGTGTCCGTGTGCATCAGGGGCTCTGAGGACAGGTGTCAATCCATATGTCAAGGTGTCAATATGTCATATGTCAGGTGTCAATCCATATTGATTGTGATTTAGGAATGTTAGGTGATTTCTGCCCTTTATGGATTAAAACCAGACTCTGTATCAACTGTGTAATTTTCCATGGGAGTTTTGCCATGGATCCCCCTCCGGCATGCCACAGTCCAGGTGTTAGTCCCCTTGAAACAACTTTTCCATCCCTATTGTGGCCAGAAAGAGTCCCTGTGTGTTTTAAAATTCGCCTCCCCATTGAAGTCAATGGCGTTTCGGGCGGTTCGCCGGTTCGCGAACATTTGCGGAAGTTCGCGTTCGCCGTTCGCGAACCGAAAATTTCGGGTTCGCGACATCACTAATGCTTATGTTAGACTAGTTGGAAATTAACATTTCTAGATGAGTAGGAGTAAGTAGGACCTCTCTCAAAGTGCTTGCCAGCCATATCAGAAGGGCACCGTTTGTGTATGTATAGGCTAAGAGCCTTATAAGTGCAGGCTGGGGCGTTATTAAGTGCAGGCTGGGGCGTTATTGTGGATTTCACTGTATGACAACGTTCTGAAGTTTTTTTATGGGAAAACAGGGTTGTTACAGGTTATGTAATGTTGCTTAAGGTGGCGGGTCAGGCATTTAAGCTGATTTGTTAATCGGCATCTGCCTGATCTTGTTGCTTAGGTACGTGTTGTAATTGTGGGTGCCTATGCAGTTGTGTTAAACATTTAAAACAAGTCAGCATCAATAAACAGAAAATAAATAAATAAATTAATAAAAAAAACAAAAACAAAAAAAAAACAGGTAAGGAACAAAGAGTAATAAAGGTGCGAGAGAGACAGTGCGAACAGACAGTCTCGATTACTCTCGCTGTGGATGGATGTTCTCATCTGTTGAGCAGCGGGCCAGACTGTTTCCCGGTAAAAGAAAAAGGTGGGAAAGCGTCCCGGTAGTTTTTGTCCTATTTCAGGTTGTGGCAGCCGCATGTGGCCCTGCGGGGGTTTGTCGTGGCACAAAGATTGGTGCGCCAACCGCGTTCCTCCCTAGGCTGCTTGTAGTTCCAGCCGGTGGATTTGCGATGTCCAGTGCCATCAGTGGTAGTTGCAGGTCTTCCAGTGTCCTTGTGGCCTCTTGTAGGTTCCGCACCACCAGAGGGCCGTGGCCTGGGCCCCAGCGGTACCTGAGTTGTTTCTGCCTCAAGAAGGATGTAAGCTGTTTGAGGGATCTTCTCCAGTTCAGCGTTCCACTTGTGAGATCTGCATAAAACGACCTAGTCATGTCCTCAAAAGTATAGGTTGTTAGGCCCTTGGTGGCTTCTAGAACGGCCCTGTTATCCCTCGTGCTTTGAAATCGGAGGATTATGTCCCCTGTGGCAGCGTGTGGTGCTGTAGCTGGCCGTGGTATACGGAAGATGTTGTCCAATATTATGGATTTGGCCGCTTTCGGGGTTAGGAGCGCGGTCAGCAACCGCATGGCATAATGTGGGAGCTCGGCCTCGGGCACAGAGTCAGCAACCCCTCTTAGTTTTAGATTGTTTTGACGTCGCTTATTCTCTTGTGTGGCCAGTTGCTGGTCATGGAGTGATGCTAGTTGTTTGAGGTCGTGGACTGCTGCTTTCAGCTCCTCTATCTGGCGTGTATGGCCGCTAGAGGTGCATTCCACATTCCCGAGCCGTGCTGAGAGGCCTTTCAGATCCTCCCTTATCGTGGCCACTTCTGCTGAGATTTTGCTGTGATGGGCGGCCATGAGCTCTCTGATGGCCTCCATGGTCACCGGTGTGGGACCTGATGCAGGCACTCGAGGCCTGTCTGGCGGTAGTAGAGCTTTGATCGGCATGAAGCTCCCTTCTCCTTCATCAGTAGTTCCGTCCGAAAAATCGGAACATCCTCCGTGCAGGGACGCCATTGTTGCACCGGCTGTCTCATGGGCCTGCTTCCACATATCCCCGATATTCATGCCCAGACGGGGCTTGTCGTGCTTTTGCTTTTTTGTTTTTCTGCCCATGTGGATTGGGTAAGTCGTGGGGCACTCCAGGGAGTGTTTGGGTCGTGGTTGGGTTATGTTTGCAGCGATTTAGCTCGTTTGGAGTCGGGAGCTCTGCGGCCATGCGACCTTCCTTGTCTGTTGCTAGGCTCAGCCCCCATCATTTTATTTTTTTAAAGCACAACATATAGCTTGCTATATCCAGGACATACTTGAAAACGAGAGAAATCCCAATGTATCTTTCCTGGTAAAATATTTTATAAATAAATAAAATAAATGAGCACTTGCGCTGTGTACAATTCAGTGACCGTATCGCTTTAACCCCTTAAGGACACATGACATGTGTGACATGTCATGATTCCCTTTTATTCCAGAAGTTTGGTCCTTAAGGGGTTAAATACAATTATTTTTTTAGGACTGAGAGTGCAAACCCGACTGATATAGAACTAATACATAGACGGATTATCACCCTCAAAATGGTCACTTCCCTTTAAATCCCTTCACTAGATCTGGTGTCTGCAAAGGATTGTTCAAATTTCAGAGAAAGCTAACTTAATTCTGCAACGTCTGAGCTATGTCTGTATAATACCGTAAAACAGGTCCAGCGAGTCTTACAACTACTTCAACATAACTTCCCTCAAATCTAAACAGTTAATAAAATCAGCCTTGGTCCTTCATAACGGTTTTGCTTAAACATTATGAAATTATTTTATAAATATGTGTTTTTTTATAAAAAAAAAAAAAATACCCCCCCCCCCAACATTTATTTAATTGTCAGACTTAAGAACACAATTAAAAAGTAAATGATTTAAACTCATTGCCTTTTCTAACTATTTAGTATCTGTACTCCCAAATAAAACATGCATTTAATTTTTGTTGACATGTGAGAAGCAGTTCACAAATGCTGCACATAACTGTCTGCAGCCTTTGCACATGCACGTGTCCACACATGTACGCAATCACGGCCCTCTATTACTGCTGAATGATCAGTAATACAACTAACTAATAAAGGGGTAAGGCTGGCACACACTAGCCCACTGTGCTCACCACTTCCGCTTGCTCTGTGCCACTAACGGAAGCTGGGGAACACCTCCCTGGCTGTCTGAGTGATAGTTTGTGTCTGAGTGGCTGTTTGTGTCTGAGTGACTGTTTGTGTCTGAGTGGCTGTGTATGTGTGTGACTGTTTGTGGCTGAGTTACAGTTTGTGTCTGAGTGACTGCTTGTGTCTGAGTGGCTGTGTATGTGTGTGACTGTTTGTGTCTGAGTGGCTTTTTGTGTCTGAGTAACAGTTTGTGTCTGAGTGACTGTTTGTGTCTGAGTGGCTGTGTATGTGTGTGACTGTTTGTGGCTGAGTTACAGTTTGTGTCTGAGTGACTGCTTGTGTCTGAGTGGCTGTGTATGTGTGCGACTGTTTGTGTCTGAGTGGCTTTTTGTGTCTGAGTAACAGTTTGTGTCTGAGTGACTGTTTGTGTCTGAGTGGCTGTGTATGTGTGTGACTGTTTGTGTCTGAGTGGCTTTTTGTGTCTGAGTTACAGTTTGTGTCTGAGTGACTGTTTGTGTCTGAGTGACTGCTTGTGTCTGAGTGACTGTTTGTGTCTGAGTGGCTGTTTGTGTCTGAATGGCTGTTTGTGTGAGGGGCTGTTTGTGTCTGAGTGACAGTTTGTGTGTGAGGGTCTGTTTGTGTCTGAGTGACAGTTTGTGAGTGAGGGTCTGTTTGTGTCTGAGTGACAGTTTGTGTGTGAGGGTCTGTTTGTGTCTGAGTGACAGTTTGTGTCTGGGTGACTGTTTGTGTCTGAGTGGCTTTGTATGTGTGTGACTGTTTGTGTCTGAGTTACAGTTTGTGTCTGAGTTACAGTTTGTGTCTGAGTGGCTGTTTGTGTCTGAGTAACAGTTTGTGTCTGAGTGACTGTTTGTGTCTGAGTGGCTTTGTATGTGTGTGACTGTTTGTGTCTGAGTTACAGTTTGTGTCTGAGTGGCTGTTTGTGTCTGAGTGACTGCTTGTGTCTGAGTGACTGCTTGTGTCTGAGTGGCTGTTTGTGTCTGAGGGTCTGTTTGTGTGTGAGGGTCTGTTTGTGTCTGAGTGACAGTTTGTGTGTGAGTGACAGTTTGTGTGTGAGGGTCTGTTTGTGTGTGAGGGTCTGTTTGTGTCTGAGTGACAGTTTGTGTGTGAGGGTCTGTTTGTGTCTGAGTGACTGTTTGTGTCTGAGTGACAGTTTGTGTGTGAGGGTCTGTTTGTGTCTGAGTGGCTTTGTATGTGTGTGACTGTTTGTGTCTGAGTTACAGTTTGTGTCTGAGTGACTGTGTCTGAGTGGCTTTGTATGTGTGTGACTGTTTGTGTCTGAGTTACAGTTTGTGTCTGAGTGGCTGTTTGTGTCTGAGTGACTGCTTGTGTCTGAGTGGCTGTTTGTGTCTGAGGGTCTGTTTGTGTGTGAGGGTCTGTTTGTGTCTGAGTGACAGTTTGTGTGTGAGGGTCTGTTTGTGTCTGAGTGACAGTTTGTGTCTGAGTGACAGTTTGTGTGTGAGGGTCTGTTTGTGTCTGAGTGACAGTTTGTGTCTGAGTGACAGTTTGTGTCTGAGTGACTGTTTGTGTCTGAGTGGCTTTGTATGTGTGTGACTGTTTGTGTCTGAGTTACAGTTTGTGTCTGAGTCTGTGTCTGAGTGGCTTTGTATGTGTGTGACTGTTTGTGTCTGAGTTACAGTTTGTGTCTGAGTGGCTGTTTGTGTCTGAGTGACTGCTTGTGTCTGAGTGGCTGTTTGTGTCTGAGGGTCTGTTTGTGTCTGAGGGTCTGTTTGTGTCTGAGTGACAGTTTGTGTGTGAGTGACAGTTTGTGTGTGAGAGTCTGTTTGTGTGTGAGGGTCTGTTTGTGTGTGAGGGTCTGTTTGTGTCTGAGTGACAGTTTGTGTGTGAGTGACAGTTTGTGTGTGAGGGTCTGTTTGTGTCTGAGTGACAGTTTGTGTGTGAGGGTCTGTTTTTGTCTGAGTGAGAGGCAGGGAGGTGTTTCTACCCTCAATTATAAAAGTGCAGATTTCTATTGAAATCCTAATTTTTAGAAAATGTTGTAAATCACAGACTCCAAGCACATAGCGCACTTTATCAAATTGTGTGCTCTATGTGCCCGAAGTGCTCCTCTAAGGGCGAGAGTAGTACATAATGGAGCATTTAAGATCATTTTTGTAAACAAGTTTTAGACAATTGCAAAAAACGAAAGTGCAGAATGCACACATTGGCAGAAGCTGTAAACTAAAACAGAAATAAAACAGTGGAGAAAAAAATGAACCTGGTTTGACGGCATGGACCAGTAATCCTTTCTAATCTTCAATGTAAAAGCAAGTTTGACTGCAGTGGATCCTGCACACTCAACTAAACAATCTTAGCATTTTAACACAACAACACAAATTGTTGTAATTAACCTTTTACAACAGGCGGTGTGAGTGGCATGTTGCTTTAAAAAGACCCCTGTCATGTTCTGGTAAAGTTTGGCCTTCTGATCATTTGTCACAAGTGTCACGAGAAAATAATGTTATCAACAACACAACAGTTAGAGTCCCCAGGGCTGTCCATCAATTATCCAAGCTGTCCCCGTAATGTACAAAATTCACCACTTATTAAAACTGCATTTCTTGCAGTCAGCCGAATTTGGACCGGATGCTGAAAGTTATGCTGCTTTATAGCTGTGCCAAAATGGAGACCCCAGTCACAGCCTCAGATCGCACACAGTTAATTAAATTATTTTTGGTTCGGTCACAGCTGAAAAACACCAGACAATATTGTCTACAGAAGCAGGAATGAGGAAACAGTATATTGTGTCAGAAATGTCTTCAAAAAAGGTGTAAAAAACCGAAGTAGGAAACCAGCTACTAGTTTATTCTTTTTGGGAACTAATACAGAAATTATTGTCTGCCTATGCAGATTCTTCACATAATTTGTTGAGATCAGGAGGAAGTTGGGGTGAACGGAGCAGTTCTGACTTTAATCATTTACTGTCCTTTCTCCATTTGCTTGTGCAATGCCCATAACATCTGTCTTATAGTCTGCTTCCCCCTAAAGCTGTGGATGTGCTGCCTATGTAATATCCCAGAATATTCGCCCAAAAATGGGATGAAAATGGCATCCACCTGTGCCATATAGATCTTTCCTGACAGCTGTATCTGCAGAACCAAACTGAATTCACTTGGTGCCAACTTGGCTTAACCAGCGTCATCAATGTGGCAAATAGCAAGAATAGAATCGACAAGAATCGACGAGAATTTTCTAGTGAATACTGAATGTACCAGCTAATCCTCAATTCACAGTTGCTGAACTGATCTCTTTGGGCTTATTTTTTATATTAATGGATAAGAAAGCAGAATTGAACAGACACACGTCAGACAGGGGTCACAAGTTAAGATTTTAAGGTGTGTTTGTGTAATTGTGTGTTTGTTACTGTCGTGGAGAGTATTCTGTGCGCTATTTATAAACCTGTAAAGAGATACAATAAATCTTCTATTGTGCTCACTCTGATAATATGAGAACAATAAGAATCTGGAAA